GTTAAGGATGTATGTTACTTAAGTTAAAATAGAGGGAAAAAGCTGAAATTTACAGGAGTTGTGCATTTATATATCATGAAAACCTGTAATAAATTTTAGATCAATTGACTGATTCGTTTTCAAGTTATTAATTTTTTAAATTTTTTGTGCGTTCTAGACAACACGCTGTCTAAAATAGAAATATAAGGTATTATAAGACATCTTATGATGTTACGTGTACAAGATGTCTTAATGATATCTGTAAAATGTTTTATATCCCGATTTTAAACAACATATTGTTTGGAGATTGACGGGTTATGAAACATTTGCATTTAGAATGTAATGAAAAAATAAAGAACAATTCTCGAAAAAATTATGGTGTATAGAAAATACATTGGCACAAGTTCATGAAAAATTTCATAATAATTCACTTACTCGTTTTTGAGAAGAAAAAGCAAACTGCAGCAATCTCACAGATTTTGACATTAGACTCTAAAGACGTGGCAACGTCGCACTACGCGCTGTATATGTATATGTATATACCAGTACAGGCTGCGTTCCGATATTCATTATACTACTATATGTATGTACATACGTGACGTAAACCATAGATTTTCAGTATAGGAATGCAGCCCAGAAGGATGTATAGAGGAAGGGGGGAAAGGCAGAACTCTGAGCAATAGAAATAATATATAATTCTATATTTATATATATTTTTATTTATATATATGAATATTATTATATAAATTATATATATGAATATTAATATATATAATATATGTATATTAATATTAAAAAAGATATTTTAAGAAATTTGAAAACCCGTACAAAACAGTGTAATAATTTTATTGAAAAACCAAATTGATAAACCAGATAGATAAACCAAACAAAATTATCTGATAATTTGTTAATTATTTTTAACATTACAAATTTAGTAATGTTTATGTAAAAATAAATTATACTATTCCTTAAATGTTAATAATTGCACATTTTTTTCAAGCATACTAAAAACAAAATCTGTATTGACAGAGAGAATGCTAAGTTTACTTTTTTTCAATCATACTTTCTTGTAACCATTTCGTAATTTTTTCTAACGAGGATTTGTGACTAGTTACTATCGGCCTTCCATTCATTTTACAACTGAGAAGCTGGACAATACCAGCTGCCCCTGCTTCACGAAATACATTCTGTAAAGAATTAATATTTATTGAGGCGTAGGCCATTTTTTTACGAATAGTTTCGCCAATTACATTTTTTAATGGGATTAAATCGTTTAGAAAATGTCTGGTGCGTTCCTCCTTACTCCATATATGAGTTTGTTCTTCCCACGACTTTGCACTTTCGACAAGATTTTTACAAGTTATTTTTGCTGAGCAGAGAATTTTTTGAAGTATATTTACATCGTTTTCTGCATTGTGAATACCAGCAGTCAAAATTCCTTGCCATTGTGCTAAACCAGCGATGGTACATTCGCCTTTACGTTTTCTACCAGTAAGCCTTCTGATCACGATAAGAGTGTCTATAAAACCACAGACAACGTCTCGAAAATCGTCATGCAAAGAACAAGTAACGATAGCATTGAAAAGCCTCGGTCCATCAAAACTGAGATTATGGGTAGCGATATAACATGGTTTGCCGAGCGATGCCAACCATTGCTGCAAATTGCTCATCGCAAGCCTGAGAGGTACTGAATCGACTATTAATCCGCGATACATAAGAACTCCTTGGCAATTGATGAGACCATTTACTTCGGTGGT